TTTTTTTTTTATGCAGCGAAATTCGTGCTCTGACCTTTCCAGTACGAATGTATGTCCAAAATTTATCCAAAAGCCCGAATATTGCATCGATTCAAATCAGTCGCCGTATGATGCTTGGAATTTGTAGCGTCTTACGAAAACCCCTGTAATTCTGGAATCAAGATCCATTCGAAAGTTTGTCGAGTTCACAATATGCTTTGTGCACATCTTGTCGTGCATTGCTGGATCTGCTTCTCTTCTAACAGGAGTCGACTATCGTCATTTTGTCAAGTACAGTATCTATAAAAGTAGAGCCTGTCCTAGTTCAGACTTGCATAACATCCCTGCGAAGATTTCCATTATCCAGGTAGATGTCGCGCAATGGTGAAAACTTTGAATTGGATCGTGTTTTGGGTGGCGCCCGTTGCCGTTCTTTATCATGATGGAATGTTCTGTCGTTTGTTGTTGTTGCTAATTGTGATCCGAGCGTTCGTTGTGTCATCAAACTACATTTAAACTTTCAATATTTTTCAACTTTTAAACTCTCAATCAACGGCAATGCGAACCTCTTATTTACGTTGCTCTGTAGGATGTTTCCTGAGCATTGGATCAGTTGTGATGTGAAGTATCCTGCAAGGTTTATTTCTTTATTGACGGTTGTACCGATAAAGTGATGCAGTTGGAAATTCGTATGACTGCAACAGAAAGAAACGCAATGACAAGTAACTGGAAGAATAATGTTATGCATTAATTAACTTTATCTCTGTGAATCTTTAAAAACGCTATTGAGTTATTTTTTGTCGTGTTGAATTACTTGAATATGAAGGTTAAGTGCGAGCTTGCCTCTGACCAGCATATTCTGTGAAGAATATCAAGTTTAAAATAAATTTGAACTCGTAGCTTACCATAGTACAGTACCATTTTCAAATCTAGGGTTCTGGACTTGAATTTTGGATTTCTTTTCAAAGTGAACAACATAGAGCTGCTTACTGAAGCATGAGTAAAATGAACGAAATTACTTTGATTCTGAAGTATTAGGTATTATGTATTAGGTATTCAAATTTAGGTATTATGTAAGTTCCTCTTACATCAACGGGATAATTTGTTTTTCATTTGCGAGGCACGCGAAATAAGTGCGCGCGTTATAATCGGTGGCGTGTTAAATTCGAGTAATTACTGTAATGTCACTCTCAAAACTTCTGGACCATATTTCTGGATTTCCCTTTCAATGAGTTGATGCCGAGTTGAATACATTTTTTATTTACGAGATTTATGGTACTGGGATGCTTTCCTGAAGCCTAACCTGCGGTAGATGAAAGCGGAAAAAGACGGCGGATCGGTGGAATGTTTCAGTGACACACTTTAATTAGGTCTCTGTGCCGTGTTTTCTAAAGACTTACGGGGAACTTTAGTCCACGGAGTCTCTTGACGAGGTTGGAACCGGTTTTTTTGATTGCCCAACGTCGTCGCTGTCGTTGTCCATCTGTTGAGTACCGCGGTACAGTACGTCGTTGACGGGCAGTATTACGCGTCGATTCACGTCGGCTGCGTCGCTGCGAACACACTCGGGAAACAATTTCGAATAACGTTATTTTTAGCTTAAAAAATTCTACTGTAGTGATAGAGAGAAAACAATTCATCTGCATGTGAGGCGTGTGTGTGTGTGTGTGTCGTCGATGAGTACCCGTGATAGGGGAGTCGTTTGTTTTTGGCGTCGCTTTGTTGGATGTGCGGAATTATTTGCGAAACCTTTGTTTGCGGGGTGATTATTATCATGCTGTACTGTATTTTTTGTGCGCGTGAATTCGCATGGAATTTGATGCTGTGCTCGGCGATTTTCATTCCCTGGAAATTCCCAGTTGACGTTGAGGTTTCATACCTTCTCCTGAGACAACGGACGCCTTCCCTAAATTTTGTGTTGATCGAAATTTATGAACGTGTCAATAAGGAGATACATTGTTTTGTTTCAGTTGGAAGGCATTTTTTGAACCTGATTTTCAATTTTTGGAAGCCTTCAGAATCTATTCGTACATGTATTCAAACGAATCTGCTATTCATATAAGAAATTCGAGCTTTTTCCTACCACTAAAATGGTCCTCCCATTTAGAATTTTGAATGGTTCGTTACAATGCACGGTACCTTCACTGGAAGGGTACTGATTGCTTGGAAAATGAGAGATATGAAAATGAGAGTGGGTGAGGTGGAATACAACGAATTTTGACTTTCTTTGGCAGTGCAACTTCTGTTGTGTGGTTAGGAATCACTTTTCTGTGTCCATTTAAACTGATGAGTACTAGTGGAAGTACTGTATTTCTTTTCCACGTTATGTGATTTCATATAGTGAGCCTCAGAAGAATATTGTAGGCACGTAACTTTGCGGTTAAAATTCAATCTGCAATCAATATTCTAGAGCTTTGGAAAGACAGAAGATGCTCTCCATAAAAGTATCTTGTCGATTCGATGAACTGCCCAGCCGTTGGCATGGTAACTTTTTAGTGTACGAGTGCAGTACTTATCTTATCGCAAAGGGATAATAATCGATAAGATAAATCTAACTGCTGTTCAAGGTCTCTAAAATGTGCTTGATTCAATTTTATGTTGCAATAGTATTTCGACTCCGTTTTTGGGTTAGGCGTCTGCTGTTACTTCCCTGGTCTCTCCGAATCCCTGTGCAAGATTTGGTCATCGGCGAGGTCCTTCGTTTGTGGAAAATAAGTTTTTGTGTTTTCCAAATCAGGGGATTTTTTTTGGGTTCTTACGATGTTAATTCTTGCGTTATTTTTATTTGTGGTTTTCTTTTTTTAGATCGTTCGGTTTGAATTCAATCCCGCCGGTAATTGTTCAATTGAAGAAGTCCATTCCAATAATTTGAAATTAATTATTATTTTTTGTTTTAGCATAGGATTGAAAGATAAAAAATATTTGCCTTCTACTATGAAAACGAGCTATCATCTGAAGCATTATTTTTTCGTCCCCGTGACTCGTTTTTGTAATAATAACATTAACGAGACTTGAATTTCGAGAAAGAAAATGTAAAAGTCACTTTGAAAATGTTATTCCTTCTCCGGGTTCTTTAAATTAGCGTTTAGCTTTTTATTTTATTTTTATAAAACAGAATTCCTTTTTTTTTTCTTTGGTTTTCGGGGAAACGTTTCTGAGGTGGAAGAACCTTTTTCTTCATCCCCAATTTTTCTTGTATGTCTGCACAACGCATTTATGCAAGCTCAGCACTGAACCAGCAATTTGTGGAAGGGAATGTGTTTATTTAATCCCCCTCTAAATGTACGTGATTCCCCGACTAGGTGATTTGATTTAATGTTGAGCAAATAACACCTGAATCTGGTTGGATTTTAATTGGTAAATGACACGTTTTCTTAGGTCGCGTTCGGTGTTTTTTTAGGTCAGAATTCAATGCTTTTCATCATTGAATTACATAGTAAAATCGAAAATTTTTACCATGTTTTATAAATGGGCCGTCTGGATTAAAATGAGCCAAAACGGGATGGAATCCAAACCGAACGAGCTTAGATCAGCCGCAAATGGAAGATGCAATACTGTATTACCAACATTATAAC